GTAACATTTTGACATAATTTGATTAAAATATCTCTTGAAAATAAAGGAAAATACACCAGGGAAAAGTATCAATCGAAAAACTTCTGCACAAAAACATCTTTTATTGCATTCACACTCACACAGATCGATGGTCCAAACATCGCTCTTTCGATTAGTGGAAACCGTAGGTGTAGATTATATATTCAGTAAAGTTATTTAAAAAAAATAATCACTCTCCTTTTATGTTGAATCATAGAATATTTACTAAGTAAGTATAGCTCATTAAATTAAAAGTGTAAAAAAATGATCATTAGTAATTGCATTGAGATTTTAAAAGAACTACTGTTAACTATATGCAGTATTATCATGTAAATCATATTCGCTATTCGATTAACGTTTTCCTTGTTCTATGTTTCTACCATTTATAATAATCAAAGTGATGGAAACTGAAGAAAAAAAAACCGAAGTAATATAATGAAAGTAGTTAAGAAATAAGTAAAGTAAACAACATCATTTCTAAATGAAAATCTTTCTATCTTTCTGTATGATTCAGTTGATTGCTTAGCTGAAGAATAAATGGGATTTAGCTAATTGAATAATGAACTGATAATTATTGACTAAATTACAATAAATATGTAAGTATAACTATTATTTGTGTGAAGGAGAAGATTTTTGTAGTATCTCTGTTGTTAATACTGCTGATTAAAAGATATTTATAGTTAATTAGTTGTTTATGAAAAAATATTATTCTGATCAATAGTAAACAGATTCGACATCGATCACGTATCTCTAATGATTACAATAGTATTTAATTATAAATCATGAATATTGACAAAATTTAAATGAAGAACATACCCTAGTGAAATGTCTCCTATTTAAGATCAGGCCAAGATCTTGCTTACTCGATGTTTCACTTGGATAGAGAGAGTAATAAAAAAAAATATTACTGGAAATACTAATAGTTATCTCGTTAAAGCTTTATTAGAATTAAAATTGAATCGAAAGGAACGGATTATAAATGTTTTTATTAAATGAATTAAGAATAAAATTTACCTAAGAAGTTGCTATATCGATTTGTTCAGCAAAACAAATGTTATTGTTGTTTGAAGTCAATATAATTATTCTTTTCTGAGAATGACATGTAATAACATCACTATACTAGACCTTTTATAGAGCTTAGGAAAGATTGTTTGTTAAAAACAAAAAAATATAGATCACTTTTTTTTCTTGGCATAAATTTTCCCATTGGTGGAGATGAATTTTTTCTTCATTTATGAATCAACAACACTATGAAAATGATTCAGACTTTTGTCTCCTTAGAAACATTTTTAGAAAGTAAATTCCTTTGTTATAATTAATATTTTCTTGTTTACTTAAAATCTAAGATGAGAATCTTATTGATTATTATCTGAATTAAAAATATTGAATCTTTCTTTCAATATTTGTTGACTAATTGTCGAATAATCTGACATATGTAATTATAAAATAAAACATTGTGGTTTGAGATGATTGTGATTTACATACTTTTGAAGAGAGAGAGTTGGAAGTATCAATATTCTCTTGGAATTTACAAATATTAATAGGGACTGTAAGGGTTGATTAATTCTTACAAATAAGAATGTTATTTTATAATAAATATAAATATAAACAAAATCATTATTTTAGAAAATACTGATAAATTGCATTCAGTAGTAAGTAAGTAAATGTAAAAGATATATTCATCACATTTATTCCTTATTATTGGCAATGTTTTTAAATGGGATAATGCTAACAGATGAAAACTGCATATAAAAAGGTTTATGAAGAAAATCGTTTGCTCATTTTGCACATATGTTATACTGAATAAAGATCTTCTTTATCTTCGTTTTACGAATATAAAAAAAATTGTTTACCATTACTTAATAAAGTAAATCTAGGGAAACAATTACATAAACAGATTTAATCAGAACAATGATCGACACAAGTGTTTTTAAAAATGCATTTCTATGATGCGTTTCAGGCATATCATGCGTCTCAGACATGTCCGTAGAAGTATTCACTCTGACATTTTTTGCACAAAGGTAATAGTACTCGATTTAAGAACAAAAACATTCTTTCTAAATGTCAACGAGATTTTGTATTTTTCCCACTTCATATCAGTTTATTAAAAATACCCACATAAAGAGGATAAGAAATGCGACTAAATCTGTATTCATATTTTCATTTGTTCTATTCGAAACTACTGTTTACAAAAAAAAATAATAAAACTCTTCTTATCAAATTAAAATTTTATCAAAAACCTGGTTTTCAGAGAAATATTTTTTTATTTATTCTACATAAATAATAAAGATAAGTTTAGGCATATTCTTATTTTGACCTTATTTTATTAAAAATATGTTCATTGTTAGAAATTCCATTAAATTGGTATTCTTAATCGCTTAAACATTCAAGTATTTTTTAACAAACTTATATTGTCAACATACATCCAAAAAGAACAACAGAAAAATATTAGTTTATTGAATAGAGCAATTGACAGAAAATGAACAACTATTTGCTCTTTATTTAAAAATTTTTTTTAGAATAATTTGACTGAATTTTTGATTAAATAATAAAATCAATCAGATTCTTGTATATGTTAATCATTGAATAAAAGATTTGCTTATTTTTCAGATGATATTGATAACTTTTACAAAAAAAATGTTTCTTTTGAAAACAATCATTTTTAGTGAATAAACAAATACGCAGTAATTTCTTTAAATAAAATAATTTTTTTTATTTTCTCAAAACATTTTTTCTTTCAAGAATAAAACCATTTGTTAAAATGAAATAATGACGTATGTATGGTATATATATTAAAAGTGTTCTCGGTAATACTGACATTTTCTTTTATTTACTTGCAAGTATAAAACTACAATAATCATTTCTATCATCAGTGTAAAGTGAGTAGATTAAAACAACTATTGATATATTTCATCTTATTAATCTATTTTAGTTAAAAGTTTTATAAGAGAAACTCGGTTTAAAAAAAAAGAAGTCAAATCTTATTTTTTCTCTGTGAGAAGAAGTCAAATTATAGATTTTATCCTGGTTTTGATTGCTTTCTCTTAATTTTTAGCTGTTTTTATCGCAAGAAAATTTCGATGCAAGAACCACCAATTCCAGGAGATCAGCATAAAAAGTAATACTATTTAATTGAATTAATATTTCAATTTAAATAAAAAATTTTAAAGAGAAAATACTTTATCAACAAAATATGAATTTCTTCTTTGGACTTGTGTTTTAATTCCAGTATCAATTATTATTGGTGTTATTGCAATAGTTATAGTCATTCGCTATCAATCATCATTTTCATCCATCGATATAAAATATGACATTGGTAATATAAGAATTTTCTTTAAATATTAAAGTTAGATGTTGAGTAATTTCATTACTTTATCCGATAAAATCTAGTAGATAACTACACTGCACTTGATAATATATTGATTTATCCGAGATTGCTAATTTAAGTTTCAGTCCAGATCAATAAACAGAATTTTCCAAAAAACATTTTTATTGGAATTAAATAAAGTTTTGTAATCAAATGAAGATCTTTGTGCGATTAAAAAGAAAAAAATGAAATAATTAAAAAAATGTTTGCAGGAACGACAAGTGTTTCGAAAAGAACGACAGGAGCAACTCGGATGAAGACAACTTCAACCGAAGGTAAGAAAAAAATAGTATAATATGTATATGTAAATAAATATATTCATTTAGTGACAACATCAATTTTAAGTAATATGTCCAATATAAATTCTTCATGTAGGTTAACATTTATTTTTTTTCATAAAAATAAAAATGATTTCTTCTAGATATTCCATGTAATTCATTAAAATTTGCAAAGTATGCAAGTTATTCAACTGGAAAGGGTGTATATTCAATAAGCACTGGCTACTTAGATTCAGATTTATTGCTTGATATTGTTGTTACTAATTATGATGCTTCAAATATTGGTATATACTATGGTTCCGGAAACGGAAAATTTCAAAATCAAAAATCAATTACTGCGACTTCAGATGTTAGTTATGTTGCTGTTAGAGATATGAATAATGACAATAAATCTGATATAATTTTAGCTTATGCCGCATTAAATAAAATTGCCATTTTAATCAATAATGGCAACCAAAAATTCAGTTCACCAATAACTTATCCAGTTGGAATTTATCCATATTGGCTTGACATTTCAGATTTTAATAAAAATAATTTATTAGACGTTGTTGTTGTTAATTCTCCGGATAATTCTGCTACTATTTTATATGATTATTATAATCTATCATTCAATTCTTTGAAAACATATACAGTCGGAAATGATGTTACAGCTGTATTTGTTGCTGATTTTAATAATGATTCGTATCCTGATTTTGTTACTACTGATAATAGTGATAATACGATTAGTGTTGTTATTAATTCTAAAAATGGAACATTTAAAAATAGAAAAACATATTATACAGGTATCGAACCATGGGGTCTAGCTAGTGCTGATTTAAATAATGATAATTTTATAGATATTGTTAATACTAATTATGGTTCATATACATTAAGTGTTTTATTTAATGATGGATATGGAAACTTTAATAGACGGGATACATACTATATTGGTGGAAATCCAATATCAGTAGCATTAGCTGATTTAAACAATGATACATTCATTGATATTATTACTACAAATTACGTTGATAAATATGTTTATATTTTATTAAATAAACAAAATGGAAAATTTCAAACATATCAAAGATTCAGCACCGATAAGAATGTTTATGCTATTACAACTGGAGATTTTAATCAGGATGGAAAAATAGATATTGCTCTTATTACTTATCAAAATACTTTGAATATTCTTTTAAATCTATGTTAAAAACATTTCATAGACTATCTTATTATTAACAAATATTTATTCTAAAAACTTTTATTTATTCAAAGTTTTTTTAAACATTTTATTTCTAAACATAATATTCTTTTCTTCTTTATATCAAATAATAAATACATATTTAATTAAAATTTATCACTCAATTCTGTCACAATATAGATAAAAGAATGAGTACTCAATACGGTATTCATCCTAGTCTTTTCTTGAATATTTTACTAAATATTTTATATATAAGTATCTATTCAAATTGATTAAAATTGTTTAACATTGAAAAATAGGTAAACTAATGGAGAATATAAAAAATAATATTTTTTATGACTTAACTATGTTATTCTCCGTTCTTTTCTGATGAATCACACGCAGATGAATGTAATGAAAGGTTACGTGAAGAAGAGGAAAAAAAGACTTGCTCATTTCTGAGATAAAGTTAGAGATTTCTTTCAACATATAAAAGAGAAAACAATGAATTTCATTTAACAAGATTTAGATTAAAAATTCTTCTAGACTCTGATATTTTCTTTCAGATAAACACTGAAAGCTATCGAAGCAAATGACGACTATAAAACTTTTTCTATAAGTCGATCAGAGTCTGATATTATCAAATAGTACACATAATCTTATAGATCATTTTTATTATTTATATAGATATATACAAAAGTAAAATCTAGTAGTTGTTTTAAATTATCTGTTTGTTTTTTCCTAATGATTTATATTGTATGTTTTCAATCACACATCGCAATTTAATAGATAATTTATTCTTTAGTTGTATTTTTCTCAATACATACTTCTTTTTACTATTTCTCATGAGCTGTCTAATTCGAGTACGAATATAAATGGAGACTCAATTGCATACTATCAATTCAGAAATAACTGTTGAAAGTTAGAAATATATTTAGTTTTACTTGAAGATGATTATAATTCGTATGTACTGCTGAGGAGAAGGTGAGATGAGAAAACATGCTTCTCTCTATAGGAGGGGAAAAGGCAAAGTGAGAGAAAGAGAGTGTAGGTATGGTTATTAGTGACACTTATCTCATCCACATTCACACTCACACCCGGCAGCTACTCACTTATGCACAAAGTTTTCTACGAAAATGTTTTCAAATGCTTACAAGTAGCAATTTGCTTTTTAGATAATGATACTCGATAACCTTGACATGCAAATTTAAAATTAATTGATGAAAAAAGCGCATTTTCAGCCAGAAATCGCACATGTACGATCGATGATGTTGTTAATGCTTTCTGATCACTATCACTATCATTTGACATTGTTACAGTTGCTGAAAGAATTCCTAATCCGTTATATATATATATATGGTATTTTCCAAGAGAAACAAGTTCATCAAATATTTATTTTCTTCCAGAAAAAACAATACAGTGAAGCTTTCGATACCTTTCACAGGGTCATTTTTAACACTAAATTTTATGAAAGAAAACTTATATATATA